CACTGCGCCCTGCAGACGTAGACTGACAAGAATAAAATGAGCTCTCTACAGCGAGTTAGGCAAAGGCTCCAAATTCGCGAACTGGGAACAACGGGCTGCGCAAATGGATTGTGTTCAGCCGCCGAGCTCTGAGCCCTCAGTGGGGCGGATGTGTTTTGACTGAGCTCAGAAAGTGGCTACAGGAAACGTAGGTCCCAGTCATTAAAGGTCGCAGTCTTTGTTTAAACTACCACGAAGTCTGGGAGAACTTTAGGAAGGTTAGAGTTTATAGTTTGCAACAGGAAATTGTACATGAGATTTACAGTTTTTCCATATGTGAGTAGCAAAATGTCAGCAAAATATTATACATAATCCCAAATCAAAATATGTAACTATATAACTGAGAATTTTTCTTTTCCTTTCCTTTTTTCTTTCCCTCCCTCCCTCCCTCCCTTCATTTCTTCCTTCTTTCTTTTCTTCTCTTTTTTCCTAGCTGAGAGAAATTCTAATACAGCAGATACTCAAAAATTGAAGGGAGGGCTGGGCAAGGGTGAAAAATAAGAACCAAGAGAGACTATGTAAAGGTGCAAATTTCCACTGATGAATGTCATTATATTGTATACCTAAAATGTACCAATGATTAGAATGAATAATTGATAATGCAAAATAGGAAGAAAAGGTCCAAAGGGGTAGGGGTAGTGGGAGGGGCAGGGGAAAGGAAAGAAGGTAAAGGAAAAATGATGAGAAATGGAAACAATGGAAATAAAGTCTTTGTAAATAGGGAAGGGTGGAGGGCATGAAGGGAGGGCTAGGAATGGGGAAAAAATAAGAACCAAGATGCATTATGTAAAGGTACAATTCCCAATGAGAAATGTAATTGTGTTGTATACCTACAATGTACCAATAAAAGAACTTAATTAAAAAAAATTTACAAGTGCTGCTTTAGTATATGCTTCAGAATGCCTATGAATACATTTACAATGAATTTTTTAAAATAGAATTGTGAAAGGCAGGTATTTATTTTCTCCAGTGATTTCTAGTCAATATATTCCATGTGCAAAATCCATAACAAATGCTCATCCTTTATAATCATAACCACTACCTTTGTAAGACAAGTATTTTAGACCTGACACATTCAGTGCATAAATCATGTGACTTGCTCAATAATACAGTATTGTTTTTCTCATTATTATTATCTCCATCTTATTTATGTTTTTAAATAATACTTATTAAGTTCTTACTGTTTTCTAGTTAGATGAGGACACTTAGGCTTGATAATATTTTTTTTTGGTACCGGGGATTGAACTCAGGTCCTTGTGCTTGCGCAGCAGGCGGCGAAACCACTGAGCTAAATCCCTGACCTAGGCTTGATAACTTTTTAAAAACCACATTTTTTGTGGAATAAAAATAAAATATTCTGTTTTTACAGCCAAAGTTGAAATTATTAAAAGGAAACAAAAGAAGTCAAAGTCTTAGTTTAAAAGCAGTTTTACATTTTGTAGAGTTTAATCTATTTCTAGATCATATAAATATTTTTTAATTGGAGAATTTTAACTGTATGATTGTTTAATGCAGTTAAATTACTCATGTTATGTTTTGTAGAGGAAATTCACCAAATGTATTTCTCAGAAATTAGCTTTCATCAGAACTGGGTTTTGCTAAACACTATAGATAAAAGGATTATTTGCATAGGAGAAAACCTAAACAGAGTGTGTCAGTTACTGCTCATTTGACCCCGTAATGTCACAATCACAGCCCTAGTAGCCTGGCTTAAATCAGATAAATATGCAATGAAAAAGAAGTCTTCAATCCTGTTTTATGACCCAAAACTTGTTCTTTTTTTTTTTACAAATTAAAGTTAATATTTATATTTTATACACCAACAGTACATTTAAGTGAAATGCCTAAAATAACACTATGAATCAAATGTTTATATGCTACAATAATGATTCAAAGTAGTTGCCTTACCAAAATCTAGTTCCTCCCTCCGTCCTCTGTTACTACTTTAGATGTAGTATTAGTCTTTACTCTTAGGCTGTAGATTCCCATATCCACCATCTGAACCCCAACTCTGTTTAAAAATTTAAAAATTTTTATTTTAATTCAATACAGGTAGATATTGACAAAGAAAATATAAAAGTTGTTCTATGAAAAACTAATTTTTCATAACAAAAATAATTAGAGAAGAACTGGTAAATACAATGTGTTTGGAGACCTTAAAAGGGTGTACTTTTGTTGAACCCGGGGTTCACACAGAGCCTCAGCTGCTATGGGGTGCATTGCCTGTGAGGATTAACCTGTCACTCTCCTTGGTGCCCCAAGGGGGCTCCTACTTCTTCCTGTTTTCTAGGACACATACAACCCCTGTCTCACTCCTTTTGTAAGCCACGGGAAGAAATTAACAGTGACTTTTTTTGGTACTGAGGATTGAACTCAGGACCGCACACTTGCCAGGCAGGCACTGTGCTGCGGAGCTAAATCCCCAGCCTCAATGATTTTTTAAAATTTATCCTATTACAAATAAAATAAATTACATTTCTAAAAGTTTATTTCAGTGTAGATTAATTCAATGTTAAGTACCTATCTGATAAAGTTTATCTTATACAAAGATTGAGATGTTGTAGTTAAGTAGCTAATCCCTAGGATAACTGATCAAGAATCTGAAAGACCATCCATAGAATAATATAGAATTATTTTGTCTTTAATTTTTTAATGTTTCAGCTTGTTTGAATTTTTTGATCAATTTTTATTGTGCTGGAAAGACAGGGAAGTTAGAAATGATTTACCTGTTTTAAGTATATAGTCTGTTTAGGGAGCAAATGTTATTTTACCAAGATATAAGATAGCTGCTGTCATTTCTTGATTAAAATTCAGTTAGTATGGTATCAAACTGAATGCACCTAAAAAAACTTTGACATGTTAATCTGATTAAATAGATTCAAATTCAGCTGAAAGTTAAGTTCAGCATTAGTCATGGTTAATTACTGTCAGAAAGGATATGTTCTAGCTATTCATTTATAAAATATGAGCTTTGAGATTGCATGTGAATTAATTAAATTCCCTTTAATTGCAGCAGCTATATGCAACACACAGCTTGTAGCTAGCATAAAATACTTTATTAACTTCTAGAAAATGGACAGTATCCTCATACAAATCTCTGTACAGGATTTGAAGATAATCTGGGAAAGATACACAAGAACATAAATATACCAAATATGACCCAAAGTTATAGCAACACATTCCCTCTAAGAGAAGAAATTTGCAGGAATTCAGAAAGCTACATTAATTTGTAACTAACTATAAAAAGATTAAACTCTCCTAATAAACCTGAGCTTGTTACTGAATAATAAAGTAAGACACTAATTCATGCATCTTAACTTATTTGATAATTATGAAAATATATGATATGGGATTTTTATAACATACACCTATGTGAGTGAGATTCCTGTTGGAATGACAGCTACGTTTTAAGCTCTATAAATGTTACATTAATAATTTGCTTCTTTCATGTTACAAATACAAGGGAAATTTTTCCTCATTTAAATCAGTCATTTTGTAGTCATAATTGACGTAGGTAAGGACTTATTTTTAATGAGGTACATTTGGTAAAAGAAAAACTTTAGGCAAATTAAATTTGATCTTATTTATTTGGGCAAAGAATGACTCATGAATTGGGGAGCACTCAGAAGGAGGAGAGGCTCAGAGAGGTTCCATACCAGTGTGTGCATGGGATCTTTCTGGGTAAACCGTGGGCTGCGGTCGAGGAGCGGTTTTCTAGGGCCAGGTGGCGATGCGGCCTTCATGCAGGTGGACAGGGTCTGACCATGGACTACCCGGGACTACCTGGAGCCCCTGCTGCTGCTGGGCTTAAAGCCAGCTGTCTGTTACCAAACGTACACTCTTAAGTTTGGTTTTGGTTTATTAGAGCACTGAGTTTGTTTGCAGTTTTATGCGTAAGCACTCAAAGTTTGGAGACAAAGTTAGTAGGCCTCCTGCTATTTAGCTTAACCTATTGAACATTAGGAAGTAAAAAAAATAATTTTTCCACTATCATATTAATGAAGTTAAACAATGCTCGTTTCCACATATGTTTTATGGTATTTTCCAAATATTTGCATTATTTTTATGATTTTGATCATAACATTAACTTATCACCTTTTCCACTAAAGAGTATTTCGCGAATTTACTTTGTCCTTTCCTTAGTATTATACTTACTCTAATTGTAAATTAAGATTTCATTAGGTCAGGGCTCAAAAATGTGGTCTCAGAAGTAGCTGTACCAGCATCACTCAGGACCCTGTTGGAAAAAGACATTTTGGATGGCAAAATCATTTCCAATACTATCAGAAAATATAAATTAGCTAATTCAGAAACTATGCTATCATAGTGTTGGTTTTTTCAGAGTAATTTTAATTTTGCTAACTTAAATTTGATATGGAAACACATGTATCAATATGAAAATAAATTTAAGGTATGAATGTCATTTATAAAACACATAAAACTAATTTTAAAAATTTGCTTGATTTTCCATACGTATGTCCGATGAAAATTAATTTCAGAAGAGGTAATAATCATAACTAACACTGAAAGGAAACTATATATGCAAAGTCTTTCTTGCTAAACCTATGGAGATTCACTACTATTATCCTCATTTTACCTTTGAGGCGTCTGAGCTGCAGCCGTGTCGGGTGCTGACCCTGCGTCCCGAGTTTGCCAAAAACGGTGCTGCAGCGTAAACTCTGGACCAAAAGCTGTGCTCTTGGTCATCATAGAGAGAAACGTTTTAAAGCCTTGTGCATCACAGTCAGCTCTGAGGAAGGAGGAGAGGCTCAGAGAGAAAGTGAAAAAAATGTGGAGAACGTTTTGAAAAAGCTCATTTGATGCAAGCATCTTCCCCGTTAAAACATTGCTGGAACTCTGGTTACCTATAATTGTTTGAGAGCACGTTTTTATTTGATACTTTGAAATGCATGTATCATTTAAGCACAGGAGCCAAATGATTTCCTATTCGTTACTTTCAGAATTTCTGATTCCGGACGACCCTCTTGGGTCTTGTAAGAGGAAGTACTGTGGCTTAGGAAGGCACTGTGTGGTCAGCGGAGAGACCAGGCGGGCAGAGTGCGCGTGCGTGGAGCTCTGCAGCCCTCACCGCAAACCCGTGTGCGGCTCCGACGGAGAGCTCTACGAGAACCACTGCGAAGTGCACCGGGCTGCCTGCCTGAAGAAGCAGAAGATTACCATTGTGCACAGCGAAGACTGCTTCTTCAAAGGTAAGACAGGCGAGGCCGCAGTCCCGCTTCCTGTTTCCTTCATACTCTGCTTGTACCTTAATGTTTCAACCAGAGAATAGTTTCATACCAGCAAGTATCTCGCATCAGCAAAGGAGAAAAGTGAGATTAAACCAAGAAGTGTCTGAGAATCTACATGGTATCAATTCTGATTCTCAGCTGTGAGACTAAAGCTAGCCAAAATATGATTCACAGTTTAATATAGCTTTAGGCATTGCACCATATGGCTTCCCAATCATGGCTTTCTGAGGGACACAGGGCAGCCAATTCCGGCTAAATCCACCTGGTGAAAAGCACCTGGAGTGGAATTGAGAGAGAAGCAACTGCCAAGCCATGCTGCGATAACATCCCCTCTCCTCCTGATGAGAAGTGATAGTTCCAGGGCATGCCGCATGATCTAAATTAGGTGGAACCTGCAGTTGCCCCTGAAATACCTGTGGAGAACTCAGACCAAACTCAGGTAGTGAATCTGGGATGGCAGTACTTTAAAAATTGAAATACTGAAATGTACTTGAAATCAGTTCTATTGAAAAGTTCTGAAGAAATTTGATATGATTTTAACATACTTTATAAATAATCATCAGGTGGCTTTAACATTCTTTATTTATAAATCCATTATTTACTCTGGCAATCATATTTTCTTATTAATAATTATGACTTCAGTTAAAGTTCTGGAGTTCATCATATAAAACTTCCATCATTCTAGAAGGTCAGTGATCAACTGATTCCTAGCCTTGGTTCCAATACCCACTTTCTCAAAATGTTCATGCAGTGGCTTTATATTTTACATATCATGTGATTGTTCATTCTTAAATGTATGGCTGAAATGTGATGCTACTCTACAATATTTGGCCAGTTACAGTGGTACCTTGATTCATGAACTTAATTCTTTCCACGATTCTGGTCACAAACTGAATTGTATGTGAACCAAATCAAATTCAACCCTGAGGTTCAATGTCGACCTTATGGGGAAATTTGACTAAGTTCTGTCCAATTCAGTTTGTGACCAGAATCGTGGAAAGAATCAATTTCATGAACAGAGGCACCACTTATGTGGTAAACTGAAGACTAAAAATGGATTTTCAATATTGGCAGAAAACATAATATGTGATAAAAATGATACAAAGGGCTTTTCAATGCATATAATTGTGTAAAATTGTTTATTTACCATAGGGAATTATGTGCAACTTACTCATTTAGAGAATTTTTTTATACCAGATTATCTTCTTGAAGATAATCTTGAAATTCAGCTCATTCTGTTTTTCTATCAAATACATTTTATTAATACTTAAAATATGATGCTTACGGAATACTTTTTCTTAAATCTGCTGCACGATTGCAGGCGAGCCCGGGTCCCGGGCCCACGCTGGGCCCCACCTACAGCCTGCTCACCCGCTGGCCTTGCCTGGAGAGCCAGGGCCTCTCCTTTGCCCCTCCCTGACCCAGGGCGAGTGAGGCCCAGTGATAGAGACCCGAGTCCCCTCAACAGGCCTCACCCAGGGGGCGCTCACCTCTAGCCTTTGGCTCATCTGGCTTTTATTCCCCGGGACATGGGCACGGCGATCAAAGCAACACAGGAGTCGCCTGCTTTCCAATACCATGAGTGCCTCTCTGGTGAACAATTTAACCTGTCTGAACTTTCCCTAATGTGCAGTCACCCTGCGTGCAGCCTGCTCCTTTGTGCTCACAGAGAAGGCCGATTGGGCCCTAATTCTCCTCTGGTCCTTGACACACGATGTCATAACATTACGTAAATAATATGTGCTAATCTGACCATATTAACGTAGAATCATATTCTCCAGCCAAGGTCATGCTCACCTGATACCCAGCAATCACTTGTATGAAAACACATGATGTTAAATACATGTGGGAAAATAATGTGGGGTAGGTAGTGTTCAGTTTGTATGGGATGCTTGGGCGTAACGGTGCACTCTCCGCTCACTCGCTCCTAATGTACACACACAAACACGCACACAAATTTGTGTGAGTATGAAATAGATGAAAGATGAGATACATTTTCTTTATGGATTTCTTTCATAAAACTGGTTTGAAAGCTTTTATCCTTCAGGCTTACACTAAGCATAATTATTAGCTCTGTGTTTGTGTTGAGATACTTTCCTATCATACATAATATGAAAATTCTATTTATATAATGTGGGTTATTTACCAAGCATTAGCATGTTTTCCAAGTCTCAGAAATTGTGGATTTTCTTGCTGTTTTGTTTTGCTGTTTTGCCTAACACGCAGCTAACTCATGAAATTACTTTAGCATGAAAGAAGTAAACAATATGGGACAAAAACAACTGGCTATCTGGTTACTGCATTTGGCCACGTTTGGGATGTGAAAGAAGATTCTGTAAAGCTGAAGGCCTGACATTATTGTCATGGCTAAAATTAATTCTGAGATCATGCATTATTTTCTGTGAATTTTCAGGAAGTTATGTTGCTTCCTACAATAGCCCAATGGAAGAAGCAAACCAAAATATTAAATCTAAGAAGTGCAAAAACTCATAGTTAATTAGATATTGTTCAATAGAAAAATAAAACAAATCAAACAGAAAACACTTTGCTACTTTGGAACTATTTAGAGGTGTTTGTGAAAACCTTACATTGCAGCTCATCAGACAAGAACCTATTAACAAGCCCAGGGCACAGTCTTTGGTTTTTTAACCAAAGTTTTGTTTTGTTTTCTTAAACAGCTTTACCTATTTGTTTAGTACTGCTGCATTTTAAAAGGAGAGTTGAGTACTGTAATTGCATGAGAAATCTTATGGCAGACAAAGCACAAATGATTTTATCTAAATCTTTCCATAAAAACTTTGTTGACCTCTGCTTTAATAAATTACTGGTACCTTACAACTCATTGTTTAAAATATTAGCAGATCTTTACTGTTCTGTAGCTCTTTGACTATTGATTCCTATACCAGACAGATTTATGTGGTGAAATTGAGTGAAACTACCCCCCACACACACACACATACACATACACACACACACCAGGAAATCTGAATAAGGCCCATGATATTATAAAAGTCAATATCCTGCATATACAGTACTCCAGTTTCCACTGGGAGAAGCTGAGTCAGAGTTCCTAGGATCTCTGTATTATGTCTTACAAATACATATTAATTTATAATCTCAAAATAATAATAAAAACTTTTAATAAAAATGAAGAATATTAGGAAATGTCTTAAAAGTTTCAAAGACTGTAAAACTTGGTTTATTCATTACTTATTTGCACCTTAAAGTAAGCCCTATTTATTTCACATCTGATATATGTTTGGCATTAATATGTAAAGTTATTTAAATAGATTATATAACTGTATGTTCTGATTCATTGATTTAATATTAGAATTCAGGAAAGACACATCTATATCTCTATATTGAAATGTCTGTATATAACAAATGTTGCCTATTTCCTTCTTATTTGTACTAAATAGTGAAATGCCTCTAAGAATTTTCTTTAATGATGAATGATTTGTAGACCTATAGATTAAATAAATAATGTTTCTATGGATACAATATTTTCCTAATTTATACTCACATTAATTTGATCGTGAAATACATAGCTGTAGGATATGGATTGTTGTAGTGTTCGTTTATTCGCATCAAATACTTTGTGATGATGTTTGGCCTAACATAAATCATTCTGTTTTTATACTGTCCTTAGTTATTTATTTTTGTGATAAGAGAACTTTGTCTTGAAGTCAGTTCTCTAACAGAAGTCTTCTTAACTGCTGAATTCACATCAGCACTCACAGCAAGTACAGTCTCCTCTCACCCTGACATCAGATCATTCTGCCAAACTGAACGGGATTTACTTACTCAGAGTGAAGATGTAGCAGGGGGAAGAAACCTCCGCATATAACCTACGGTAAATGAAGAGGGAATTAAATCTTCATGAGAAAGTCAGTTGAGCAGCAATGCTTTAGCCATTTACTCTGCCTGAATAAAAGTGCCATAAAGGCAAATGTCCTGAGCACTTAAGTGCATGTTGCAAGCAAGAACAACTTAGGAAATATGGTTGTTAAAGCTGCCTGTGCACTGCTTGGATCAGATTTGATACTGCACACAGCTGGAGGAGACATTCATATTCCATTTTTTATTTTTTTAACTTGGCTTTTTAAAGAAGAGAATTGTAGAAATTGGACTATGAAAACTGGGCTGTCAATGAGATTGGAAAATCTGTCAGTGTATATGTGCTAATCCACAGGCGCTATGTGTTGATTTTTTGTCTTAACAGCTTGTCACCCTACCATTTAAAGAAAATATCAATCTAAATCAATAATCTTTAAAAATAGTGCTAGTATCGTTGTTCTGTTTTGGTTTTAGTCAGTAGTATTAAACTGCAAGTGCTAGTTGATGGTGAGACTGATATCTTGGGGAGTGATGAATGTAGTTTATGTCCTTTAAGGCCAGAATGCTAACATCAGAAGCTGTGGTGCCTCCAAATTCAGTCATCAAACCAATTTGATTAATCTTTTAAATTACGGTTAAAATTTTCTGATTTGGATGATGTGAAATCAATATAGTTCTTTTCTTTTTATAAAAAGTTTTGAATTTAACATTTGATTAAACATTTTGTTGCCTTTTCTCTCACTAATTAGAATGAAAAACAAAAAAACCCCAAAGATAGTACCCAGTATCAGACAAACTTTAGGTTGCCTTGTTCTGTACATTTACACGGTCACCATTTGTTACAAAAATAATATCAAATCCACCCCACCCTCGGTTTCTGAAAACTCTGTAAGGCATTTGCTAACTTTTACGTGATTTTTATATGTTTGCTTTCCATTTATTAGGTACGTCCTGGATAACTGGTATGTAATCTGTCGTATGAGGAACGATGTAAATGCACGACTCATACGGAGGTTGCATAGCCACTGATGTGGGCGGTAACGCCGCTCACACGTGATCGGAAGTGTCCTCAGGTCTGGGCTGTGGCACGCGGGAGAGCACTCTCGGCCTGGCACGTGTGAGGC